TTTCCACAACCAGCTCTTTTAAAACGTAGAGAGTGTTAGATTACACAACATCGTTCACGGGACATCCAACATGTTAAAGCTACAACAGGTAGAAACTTAAGTGTCTGCGTTTGCAAAACCAAGAGATGCAATGGCAAACAGTGTATTATATGCCATGTTTAGCCCTAGCCACTTTCCCCCATGCAAATGCTAACCTTTATGTTACCTTTCTAGCAGAGCGAAATTGGTGGAATAGCTGGCAGATTATCCCCATGCTTCGCTTATACCATTAATTTGTAGAATTTAATATTAGTTTTATTATCACAAAATTATGAATTAAAGCAGAGATATAGTTATATGTCCTGTCGTTTTAAGTTATAACCAAACTGAGCTGTTTGTGAAGGTCGACGCTCAGTTTACAAACATACTTGGGCTTAACATGTTGTTGTCGTATGTGGCATTCGCTCGCATTTTTCAATGCTTTATAAGTTTTGCACAGTTCAGTGTACCTCTTAAAACATTTTGAAACTGAGATGATACTTCAGTGGAAACGGTTGATTGCCTAGTTTTATAGGCTATTTTTCGTTTATCGCTCTAAATGGTCATTGATTTTTATCCTACGCTTTGGAGTAGTATGTGAAAAAATTATTCCCTATATTTATTTGTTGAGTTATTCTCCGGCTCTGTGTTCAGTTTTCAGGCATTTATAAATGACGCGCTTTATTTCTTGACCATTAAATAAGTGATCTCTGCCATTCTTGTGGTTTGAACCTTTAATATCCAACATTATATGGGTTTTATGCTTGTTTCAAAACATATTTTTGTTTAGTTAACTAAGCTGGTCTTTCAACGCCTTTTTTAGACCCGCAATGTACGCAGTTTCCAAGCATACTATGAGCGTGGGGTCCGATTTTAAGTTGTTCGGGAGCTCTTTGACTGGTATCCATAACAAGCAGGAGATCGCACGTTCTCTCCTTGAGCACATTTGTAATCTCGACATTGATCGTGAGCCCTGTGCCATCCGTAATACCAGCATTATCTGCACCATCGGTATGTCATATCTCCCAAAAATATGAAGGAAATTTGTTCTTGTTATGCTTTTGAAGGTGTGCTTGGGCACTGAATTGGAGTTACGCTCTTGTTTTATACATGAATTCCGTTGAGGAGAAGTGCACTAAAGCTTATCCCAACCTTCTTTTATACGCTCAGGCCCTGCATGTCGTACTGTGGAGACTCTTCAAAAAATGATGACAGCAGGCATGAACATCGCCCGCCTGAATTTCTCTCACGGCTCTCATGAGTATCATTTGGAGACTATTAAGCTAATCCGTCAGGCTGTGGAAACCTTCAGGCCCTTTTTCCGCCCTGTGGCCATAGCTCTTGACACTAAGGGACCTGAAATCCGTACCGGCCTCATAGATGGGGTGCGTTTTCATTAATTTATTTTCACTCTTAAGCTGTACCTATTAGCTGGTAACTT